TTTTGTTAATTTTTTAATTTAATTTTATTAAGCATGAACTAAGTTTTTTTTAAAAATGAAGGTCATTTCCGCTGCGAGGTGAAATCAAGCTGAGGTAACACTGAGGCGATATCTTCTGACTCTGTCACGGTAGTCTTGACTCTGGGGGAAAGTCACATTGTGACATTTATATTGTTTTAAACATCAGAAAACTGAGGTAACTTCTTAAAAGTAATATTGTTACATTTATAGATATTGTTTTAAACATCCAAAAACTCAGGCAAACTTCTTAAAAGTCACATTGTTACATTTATAGATTAAGTTTTAAACATTAGAAAACTCAGGCAAACTTCTTAAAAGTAACATTGTTACATTTATAAATATTGTTTTAAACATCAGAAAACATGACTCAAACTTACAAAAAAGGCACATTTTTACATTTATAAATATTGTTTTAAACATTGCAAAAAGTAGACACAAACTTCCTAGCTCAAAAGGAAAGTTAGATTGTTACATTTATAACTATTGTTTGAACCTGGAAATAGAATAACTTCTGAAATCAATTGCAAAGAATTTTTTTTTGAAAGGTCAAAATCAGTGCTTGTAAGACATTGGTATTACACGTAATCATTGGTCTGTAACACTTCAGTCGGTATGACTTCCGTACATGTATGTAGGACATTCACACATGTCTGTAGGACATTCACACATGTCTGTAGGACATTCACACAAGTCTGTAGGACATTCACACAAGTCTGTAGGACATTCACACATGCCTGTAGGACATTCATACATGCCTGTAGGACATTCACACAAGTCTGTAGGACATTCACACAAGTCTGTAGGACATTCACACAAGTCTGTAGGACATTCACAATGTCTGTAGGACATTCACACATGTCTGTAGTACATTCAGGCTTGTAGTTAGGTCTTTTGTCTGTAGGACTTTGGTCTGTAGGACATTCACACAAGTCTGTAGGACATTCACACAAGTCTGTAGGACATTCACACATGCCTGTAGGACATTCATACATGCCTGTAGGACATTCACACAAGTCTGTAGGACATTCACACAAGTCTGTAGGACATTCACACAAGTCTGTAGGACATTCACAATGTCTGTAGGACATTCACACATGTCTGTAGTACATTCAGGCTTGTAGTTAGGTCTTTTGTCTGTAGGACTTTGGTCTGTAGGGCATTCACACGAATGTGTAGGACATTAATACTTGTATGTAGGACATTGGTCTATATTACCGTGATTCAATGTCATTGTTTCACTAACCACCAAACATGGGACCAGAGAGATAAAAAATTAAAACTTACCTTTTTATAATACAAGACAGAAAGCAGTCTGATAAAAAATAAAAACGTGCCTGTTTATAGAAAATAGACAGGTAAAAACAAAAACTCACCTTTTTATAATACAAGGCAGAAAACAGACAGGTAAAAACAAAAACTTACCTTTTTATAATACAAGGCAGAAAACAGACAGGTAAAAAACTTACCTTTTTATAATACAAGGCAGAAAGCAGACAGGTAAAAACAAAAAGTTACCTTTTTATAATACAAGGCAGAAAGCAGACAGGTAAAAAACTTACCTTTTTATAATACAAGGCAGAAAACAGACAGGTAAAAACAAATACTTACCTTTTTATAATACAAGGCAGAAAGCAGACAGGTAAAAACTTACCTTTTTATAATACAAGGCAGAAAACAGACAGGTAGAAACAAAAACTTACCTTTTTATAATACAAGGCAGAAAACAGACAGGTAAAAACAAATACTTACCTTTTTATAATACAAGGCAGAAAACAGACCGGTACAAACGCAAGCAGGATAAGTAGCAATGAAAGGTCACGTGCACTGCCTTGCTCTAATCACAGAAAAAACACATGTTACCTTTCACAAGTTACTGTCATATTCATGTGAATTCATGACTGTCTGATTCTACAAGTTTTATTTGGGATAATGCACGTTTTATAACAGGTTAATGATGCGTGTTTGTTTCGTCATTTTATTTTGTTCTGTACAAGATTTTTTTAAAAAATACAATATCCCCGCCTTGGTTGTCATTTAAAAAGGTTCGAAGAATAGCATTGCATGTATGGCTTTCAAATATATTTTTTTCTGCGAATATGTGGAATTCTAATTTCAAGATTCCAGGAAGTTGTATACCTCTCCATCTTTTCCCGTTCGTGCCCAAGACACAAGCGGCAGATGAAGAAGAGTTCATCTGTTTCAGGGACCTCGGGATAAGAAGTGATAATGTGGTCAACACTATGTTTTTCTAACGTGTGTAAGGTACTCATCAGAGCTGGGTGGACTCAAACACGTTCTATTGGCTTGAACCCGGATTCGAACTTATGGCTTTCGGGTATGCAGTCCAGCTATCTACCCCTATGCCACGACGTTGTGTACCTAACTGATAGTAACTGAGCTTTGATTTGCTTAGAACTAGTCCATAGAAATAATTTTATGCTGTGGGTTGTTGATACAAGGCTAAAGCCCACTATATTTTTTAATTATAAGCACGATCTTATAATAAATGATACCCTCACTTACACCACTGTATAAACCAGATTAATAAACATAAAACAACAAACACATCCACTGTATTGATAAAACTTTCGTTCAATGAACACCTAACTTTGTAATAATGCCAGTGCTAACACCTGGGAATAAAATCTCACCTGGACAGGTGCCCTGTACACGATCCAGACAGTCGTGATCACATTTTATCTTGCAGGACTCGGTACAGTGAAACCCATAGGTCATTTCTGGACAGCCTGAATATATACGCCTATTGTATATATATGTATATGTATATATATATATATATATATATATATATATATATATATATATATATATATATATATATATATATATATAAATATATACATATATATATATATATATATATATATATATATATATATATATATATATATATATATATATATATATATATATATATATATATATATATATGTATATATACTAAATATAGATATATAGATTTATGAATATGTATTTATATATGTATGTATGTGTATGTGTATATATATATATATATATATATATATATATATATATATATATATATATATATATATATATATATATATGTATATATATATGTATATATATATATATATGTATGTATATATATATATATATGGCACCCCGTCAAAAGAGCGCACGACAAAAGAGCGCCGACATAAGAGCGCAGACAAAAGAGCGCCGACATAAGAGCGCCGACATAAGAGCGCACTAATTTCCCGACAAAAGAGCGCCGACATTAGAGCGCAAACTAAAGATCGAAAAATATAGTTAATGGTTAATAAAAATTAACTCAGATCAGAAGGCGTCGTTTGATGTTAACTCCTTATTGTTTCATTAAAAAACTAATTGTTCAGTTTCTTTAACTAAAAAAGTGATAAAATCAACGTGAAGTCCAATTATTCAAAACGCAATCTAATAACACATACAAAGATTTTAAATGTTAGGCCTAAATTTAGAATATAAACTGAAATGAAATGTAACAAAATGAAAATATATTTCAAATGAATAAAACGTTTCTTTATAGTTGCATTTAAATTGCTTCCACCTATATTTGCTCTGTCCTTTCCACATCTGTAGCCTTCGACCAATATAATAACCTTCCCTTTCTGTGATTCGATTTTCTCCATGTTACTTGGGTTAGAAATATTGTCAAACTGCATTCACAACATATTACCCATAATATATAAATAAAGAAGTTGTTCTCTCGCCGATTGTTTAATTAAAAAAGTGTTAACCATGTCATATTCGTTTCGCGTAGAAAAATGTGTTTTTTTTTAATTGACTGCGCTCTTATGTCGGCGCTCTTTTGTCTGCGCTCTTTTGTCGGCGCTCTTATGTCGGCGCTCTTTTGTCTGCGCTCTTATGTCGGCGCTCTTTTGTCGTGCGCTCTTTTGACGGGTCACCTATATATATATATATATATATATATATATATATATATATATATATATATATATATATATATATATATATATATATATATATATATACTATATATATATATATATATATATATATATATATATATATATATATATATATATTACATATCAAAGCTCCAGTTTACCTGTAGTACAGGCATGTAACGGATCCATCCATCCTAACTTACACCTGTCACAGGAACCGTTAAACTTGTCACAATCATGTTCACAGTTGGAGCAGTCACCGACACAGTCCATGAGGTAGGAACCATATGGACAATCTAGACACGGACAACAATAGACCGCTTAGGACATTGGCTTTTATATTTGTGAATACGCTACGTAAATATAATGGTTGTGTGCAATGGGTAAATAAATTAAAACATGTATCATGTATAATCAGGAGTCCTCTGATAGGCCTAGCTTAACACAGGAGAAGTCAAGTCTAATTACAGTCTAACTTGTGCAACGACAATCATTTCTAAGTTAGTGCGTATGTTTGTGTTTTACTAGAATAGCCTAAACGTATAGACCAGTGTTGAACTGGACACCCCAGCAGAGGCGTAGCGACCCTTCCCGGCGCCCGGGGACAAACTTTTCGATCTGCAACCCCCCCCCCCCTTCAAACTTTCGATTCGCACCCCCCTCCCTCAAGATTTCGATTTGCACCCCCCCCCCTCAGACTTTCGATTTGCACCCCTCTCGACCTTTCAATTTATTTTTCCAACCCATTTTGGCGCCCCCTAAAGTCGGCGCCCGGGGACATATGTTATGTCCCCCCCCGCCCCCCCTTCTCCTCGCTACGCTACTGCACCCCAGACCGAACCTTGAGGGCAGGTGTGACCAGTCCAGCATCTCTCCATGTCCCCACTAGTCGCTTGACCCACACACTGACGCCCTTTACCCTGTGGGGCGGGGTTGTCACATTTCCTGGGGAAAAAAAACGAGAAAATCCGGATCTGTTTGGATCCCTCAACAATGATTTAAGAAACAATTTAAATATGTTTATAAAACAACGGTTTACATAACGAAACAATACAAAAATTGTACTAAAACAATGAGTTACAAATTGAACCAATTAAAAAATTGTACTAAACGGATTACAAAATCAAACAATAAAAAAAAACTATACTAAAAACAGATTATAAAATGAAACAATAAAAAAAAACTTTAGTTTAACAACGGATTACAAAATGAAACAATTTATAAATTGTACAAAAACAACGAACCAAAACCTAAATAATAAATGAAAATATGAAATTGGGGAACAGTTTAGCGTCAATATATCGATAATGTAAAAAAATTTAGTAAATTCGTGTATAGTTAAAAGGTGCAAGACAAAATGTTTATATTATGTAAACATTCATGTCAAGTTTATGCTTTCAAAATATAAACGGTTAAAGATATTTTTTTAATGTGTTTATGAAAATGTTGAACTTGAAATCTTTTTGGTTCTGTCCAGGCTTGTCACAACGCTAGCTCACCTGGTTTTTGCCATGACCACAACGCTAGCTCACCTGGTTTTTGCCAAGACCCCAACGCTAGCTCACCTGGTTTTTGCCAAGACCACAACGCTAGCTCACCTGGTTTTTGCCAAGACCCCAACGCTAGCTCACCTGGTTTTTGCCATGACCACAACGCTAGCTCACCTGGTTTTTGCCAAGACCACAACGCTAGCTCACCTGGTTTTTGCCATGACCACAACGCTAGCTCACCTGGTTTTTGCCATGATCACAACGCTAGCTCACCTGGTTTTTGCCATGACCCCAACGCTAGCTCACCTGGTTTTTGCCATGATCACAACGCTAGCTCACCTGGTTTTTGCCAAGACCCCAACGCTAGCTCACCTGGTTTTTGCCAAGACCCCATAGCCACACTCCCCTACACACGATATGTCTGTCCACTCACTCCAACCGCCATGGACTGTAACATAAACCTAAAGTTACTGTAACAATATGGAGTAGTTGTAACAACATGAAGTCACTGTAACAATATTGAGAAGTTGTCTTCTTCTTCGATCTTAATTATTAGTGTTGAAGGGGATCGAGATTTATCTGCCAGTGGGTTTGAACTCGAGACTTTGTTCGAATTTATCATCCATGAACTTTTTGCAGACTCGACCACGCCTCCAACACAAATAAGCGTTACGTGTCAACTGGTTATGCGCCAATGAGGCCATTGACTCCGATTTCAGCCTGCTTTTCTTTTTGGATTTGCTTCCACAGCCTTTGTCCGACCAAGAACAAACTACAAGGAAGCAGTTGTTTGATTTTGGAGTTGTCTCTCCTAGAAGAGTGGCTGTCCCCAGCTAACGAGCCTTATCTGCCCGAGGGTTCGAACTCGAGACTTTTCGGTTTAGTAACCATGAGCTTTACCGACTCGACCACGTCAGAAGTTGTAAATAATTGAATTTAGAGTGCAAAAGTTGTAAGTAACATGAAGTCACTCTAACAATATGGAATAATTGTAACAAAATGAAGTTACTGTAATAAAAAAAGAGTTTTTGTACAATGTAACAGAATATAATCGTGATTGAGATGAAATGATGTGGTAAGCAAGTAAACTTCCCTTTCAAACCTGACGGTCTACGGGCAAGTGAAGTAGAGTTCACTTGTTTCTATTATCTCGGCATATGAAGAGATAGTGTGGTCAGCACTATGCCCAGCCGCCTTTACTTTTCCTAACGTGAATTAGGTACTCATCGGATCTGGGCGGACTCAGGGACGATCTATTGACTTGAACCCGGATTTGAACTCGTGACTTACCAGTCCAGCTCTCTATCGCTAGACCACTCCGTCCCCTAAATGCCGTGGCAGTGTAAGTAATGTTTGCTAGTGTGTGAATTACATGTCTCTTTTTATTTGTTTCCAGAATTTATTGTGTGTATGTTTACCTGGTCGTTCGTATTGTTATTCAAAATATGTGTATTTTAGCATAGAATGAAATATTACAACCATATTTAAGTATCACGTGACTTACTACTTTTAGGCATCCCCAAATCTTCATCGATTCGACCATCGCCGTCGTCGTCTGTATAAACATATAATAAATAGATGATGTACGTTTATACTACGTCTACATATATCAACAATGTCACTCATCATCCCTTTAGAAATATTAAACATAATAACTAGCTGATATACGTTTATACTACGTCTACATATATCAACAATTTCACTCATCATCCCTCAAGAAATAGTAAACTACAGCTGCGACTTTCTGGATAAACCACACAATTAACAATATCTAGAGACATTTTGTACGTGGGGAATGCAGGTTGTGAAATTTTAGTTTAATGAACACTTCATACAAGTTAAACCTAAATTAAATCATTGAGTTCTAAATTGCCTTTATATAAACAAAAACAAATACATTTTTCTGTACATAACAATTTAAATTAACGTAGAATATCGATAACACTATACATTTTATGACTGATGATTGCGAAAAAATTATACATAAGATCATTTACTCTTTAAGCCATAGAAGAGAGGCCGTGTTTGAATTAGATTGGAATTAATTAGTACACTTTTTTAAAAATCATGTATTAAGTGCTCGAAAAATAAGTTGAAATAACTTTTTAAAAATCTGTCTTTAGCTCAAATCAGAATCCTGACAATAGTTTTCCTCACCTATCCCATTAGCCTGTTCCTCGTCAACAAAAGCATCGGCGTCGTTGTCTAGCAGATCGCCAGCTTTCATCACCGTTTGGTTAGCTTTGGGCTTTTTAATGTCAAGTTGTTTTAAAAATTAGATTAGCATTGGGCTTTTCAAGTGTCAAGATTTTTTTTAGATTGTCATTCGGCTTTGCAAATGTCAAGCTTATTTTTTTAAAAATATTAGATTGTCATTCATCTTTGCAAATGTAAAGTTGCTTTGTTAGATAAGTATTTTTTAGGCTTTTCAAATGTCACATTTTTGTCAGATTGGCATTAGGCTTTTTAATTGCCAAGTTAATTAGCTAAGTTGTCATTGAGTTTTTAAATGTCATTTTTTTTGTTTATTAAATAAGCATTGCTCTTTTTATGGCAAACCTTTTGTTGTTGTAACATTGACAAAAAGTAAAGTTGTTTTATAAGATTTCAATTGGGCTTTATACATGTTAACTAGCTTTGTAAAACCTTCAAAGATAAAGTTTAATATTATTTTTAGATATGGCTAGTTATCAGTTAATGAAAGGTATCGGTGAATGAGAAGGCGCTCAAATTCAAAATATTAAGCCTGGTTCTAGTCTTTGTTTCACGAGGCCGGATACATTAAATGTTGTTGGGTTGCTCCTGTTCATGTGTACTTGACAAGTGTAATACAGTGACAACCCAACCTGACAGCTTCACAGTTTATAACTATTAACGGAATCTTAACGATAGAGTCGGGTGAGAAAAAAATCCAAAGTCTCATTCTACACCGACACAATTGATGAGCGTCTCAACGACAGTGTCTGGCCAGCTCTATTGGCTCTCATGCTACTGTTTATCTCGCATTGATTTGGGCGCCCAAGATAAAGGACAAACTTAATTGAGATCTCCCTGCTATAAAAAATACCACTGATACCTAAGCTAGAGTGGTAGGGTGTGGCAGAGCGTTCGACTGCAAAGCCGAAAGTCTCAAGTTCAGATTCCGGGCTTGCATACGTACGACGACCCTGAGTCCACCCATCTCTGGTGGGTACCTGTCCCAAGTCTGGGAAAGTAAAAGCGTAGCACTGACTACACTATCCCTTCATATGCTGAAGTCCAGTTAGAGTCGATACCCTATGAGACGTAAGGTTCTAAATTGTACTTTACTACCTATTTTAGTCGTTACGTTTAACAGAGGGATCCATGTTTAAATTTTATACGGACGCAAGTGATCTAGAAGACAACATAAATGAAACCAAACTTACATCACTTAGCGGTGAGAGGATGAACCCAGCAATGGCCACATAACCGTTTATCAGAGCAGGGTCGTGGCCGTAGATGTAGCACCCAAACGTCTCGTCCATTGAGGCTTCGTGCCGCCCCTGGGTGCTGGGGACGTAGGCGTAACTCCAGCGGGTATGTTCTGCGGGTTTCCATAGATCGCTGGCAAATGTTTGTGAGCATTTGAAAAAGTGGTAAGGGGGGACTATCGTTCTAGTTGCAATTATAAAAAGTGGTAATGTGGTCAATTATTTTAGTGGTAATTTAAAAAGTGGTAATGTGGTCAAGCATGTTAGTGGTAATTTAAAAAGTGGTAATGTGGTCAAGTATTTTAGTGGTAATTGAAAAAGTGGTAATGTGGTCAAGTATTTTAGTGGTAATTTAAAAAGTGGTAATGTGGTCAAGTATTTTAGTGGTAATTTAAAAAGTGGTAATGTGGTCAAGTATTTTAGTGGTAATTTAAAAAGTGGTAATGTGGTCAAGTATTTTAGTGGTAATTTAAAAAGTAGTAATGTGGTCAAGTATTTTAGTTGTAATTTATGTGGTTTAACGTTAGTTTAATAGTGAAGTAAAAATATGGAAAGGTTGTCTTGCATTAGTACAGTGAATTTCCAAAACAATAGAAACAATACGTTTTCGAGCACTTGTTTTTTTTTTTAATAGTATGTAAAAATTAGAAACAAATTAAGTCGGTAATGTTGTACTAAGATCAGTGGCGGAACTAGAAAAAAAGGGCCACCCCGCAAAATATTTTTTGAGGCCCCCCTATATATATATATATATATATATATATATATATATATATATATATATATATATATATATAAACAAAATATGAACGTAGGATACTCATTTCGGGCCTAATCTAGTTTTTAAAAAACACATTGTTTTAAAAAATACATAATACTTTTATTTTCAATTCTAACAAATAACAACATCATGTCATGTGTTTAAGTGCTTTAGTCTGTTTTGTAAATCTGTGTGTCACTTTTGATGTCGGCCGTATAGCTTCCCATACGCAAGCCGGTCAAAAGTATATGAAACATGAAAGCTTTGTATGTGTAATGGTTTCTCGGGTTATGTTTATTTTTATGTTTTTTAAATTTTATATTATTTTTTTTTAATTCCTTTTCATGTATTTATAAAAAATAATAATTCAGAGAAGTAATTGCTTTACAATTTGCGTAGTACAAAACTATTAAAAAGGATTTATGGGCACTTCTATTTGACTATTTAAAAAAGGGAAGTAAGTCATGGAAGTGGTTTGAATGTTTGTTTATCTTGCACACTAAAGCTTATGTAGATTTTTTTTTCCTTTACGCAACAGCGTGTGTTAGCTACTGTAGAACATCACTACTGTAGTAGTTTTTTTTTTCTTTTAGAAAACCATTATTAAGGTGCACGAAAACGTAATTTTGGAATACAAAATCATTGCTTTTTGGTCGGATTTTGGGCCCCTAAACGGCCTGGGCCCCCCCCCCGCATTGCGGGGTCTGGCGGTATGGTAGTTCCGCCCCTGACTAAGATACAATGAAAAATGACCACAATCTTTACAGTAGTGATAAAGTATAATGATAGCGTGTTGAAGCTCATGTTATGAGTAAAAGCTCAACCAAGGTGTCTACACAATGGATGATATGATTAACTCTGTATGTGTGAGATGAGGTCAAAGTTCAAATATTGACACCAAGTCTTACTTGCTGACTGCGTTGTTGTCATACTCCAACAAAGCTGTGTGCTGCTCTCTTGCAATAAAAACCACAAAATTCTCGAAGTTCTCTTTCGTGGGATATCCTGTACTGCAAAAAATATTCAACGATTTAACAAGGTAAATTAAACGACTTTTCACAAGCAAATTAAAAACAAGGACTAAAGCCAGCTACTTGTAAGATATCTGTTTCTAGGCACACACAGAATAATCACATAGTAACTTTATAGTAGCGCTACGTAGTGTGCCAAAACAAAAATATGAGTATAACATGCAAGTTAACATAAGTGAACTACACACCGACATATCTAGTCTAAACCAGTAGCGTAGCGAGGGTGGGGGAGGGGGGGGGGGGGGGGAGGGACGACATATGTCCCCAGGCGCCAACCTTAGGGGCGCCAAAATGAGTTAAAAAATTTATTTGAAAGGTTGAGGGGGTGCAAATCGAAAGTTTGAGGGGGGTGGGGTGCAAATCGAAAAGTTTGTCCCCGGGCGTCGGGAAGGGTCGCTACGCCTCTGGTCTAAACTTCTTTACATATAAGCTACACAACAATCCCTGTAAGCTAAGCTTTAATTCAGATATACAGTTTTAGAGAAGCAAGTCTATGATATTCTAAACATCCGTTTGCGGAACTAACCCTCTAAGAACTACCATCATTGTTAACAAATGTTGATGGCAAGAATCTTTCTTACTTTGTAAAGTAACAGAGTTGAATTTGATAACAAGTAAGCCTACTATTCTTACTTCCAAAAAAATACGAGTTGAATTAAATGACAGGTACTAATTTACTTTAGAGTTTGATGATGTGTACTTTGTAAATGAAAAAAATTACAGTAGTATTTGAGATAAAGTATCATTCTTTATTTTTAAAACTTAACTTCAGTGGAGTTGCTCTACATTTCTTATTTCAACAATTAAAAAGTTATGAATAATATGCTTACTTGTCCCTTTCTTACTTCCAAAAATAAAAATTAGAGAATCAAGTTTTGACAATTACCAATCTTAATTCCAAAAGTAAAAAAAAAGCCAGACTATTATGTTTACTATTCCCAATCCTACTTCCAAAAGTAAAATATGATAACATAATTTGTTGACTAGAGCCATTCTTAGTTTCAAAAGTAAAAGTTACAGAATTAAGTCCGAACTAGTCAGAGGCGTAGCGACCCTTCCCGGCGCCCGTGGACAAACTTTCGATTTGCACCCCCCCCCCCCTCCGAACTTTTGATTTGCACCCCCCCTCGAACTTTTGATTTGTTTTTCCAACCCATTTTGGCGCCCTCCCCCTAAGGTCGGTGCACGGGGACCTATGTCGTCCTGCCCCCCCCCCCTCTCTCTACGCCTCTGGAACTAGTACCCTTCTTACTTCCAATAGTAACAGTTACAGTAGAGGCCTATAGGAACGGCCGTGGTCAAGCCAAAGTTGTACTCCAAAGTGAAGTACCGCCCGCAGCCGCCGGCATTGTTGGTAGTCTGGAAGCCGATCATGACAGTCATAGGTAGGGTGGAGGCGGCACGGAACACGGTCTTAGCGATAAGAAAGTTGTCTGGTACCTGGACAGGTGTGGTGTTTACAAACCCAATATATACATAGAATATATATATACATATATATATATATATATATATATATATATATATATATATATATATATATATATATATATATATATATATATTTGTCATGCCACCTCCAATCCCACTCCATCCCACATTGTAAACCCCACCAATTTTTTCCCACGTTTTCTTTAACTTGCTTTCTCTGTGTCTTTCTGTGTTTGTCTTTCCAATCAAATCTTGCGATCGAAATTTCTGGCACTTCCCAGTTAGCTAGCGCGCTGAAATTTTCAGGGAAGCTTTCTTTTGGATGACCATAGAATATGCAATTGTTATTATTACTAAATTGATCAATGGAAACATTTTATTGAGCATTTTAGACCGCTATATAATCTATATATATAATTCTCCTCAGCGAGCCATTAGAAAAAAACCAGCGACGCGTAGCTCGCGCGCAGTGAAGCGAACGATTCCACGACGCGACAGGCTTAGGGGGAGATAATTTAGTTTGAACCGACTTAAAACTTACAGGAGGTAGGCCAGTTTGGGGGAGACGATATGGTCGAGTGGTTGGGCACACGATTGCTATCCCACTCGACACAGGTTCAAATCTATGTGTTCTAGTCAGTAACGTATTCACACAACGTGTTTTTTACGAGTTGTCTTTTTACGAGTTGTCTTTTTACGAGTTGTCTTCGTTTACCCAAAAAAAGTGAAAAGATAAAATCGATAGCAAGATTTTAATGCAAACAAACAGACAAAGACTAAAAAGTAGAAAATAATAATCATTAAAAAAGTTTTAAAAAACCCACGTTTTCTGATTGAACTAAAAAGTAGAAAATAAACGCTATACATCACAATAATGCAAGCGATCACTCTACTATAAGCGATCAAAAACGTGGGGCGCCGTGATTTTCTTACAGTTTCTAATACTGTTGACTCTCTACAAGCTCCCTAATAAAAGTCAATAGTATTATCTAATCAATAGTAATATAACTTTTACTTCAGCGCCCCACGTTTTTCATCGCTTATAGTAGAGTGATCGCTTGCATTATTGTGATGTATAGCGTTTATTTTCTACTTTTTAGTTCAATCAGAAAACGTGGGTTTTTTAAAACTTTTTTAATGATTATTATTAAATATTTGGGGTTAAGGTTAGCCGACCCTCTATTGTTAACTATTGCAGGCGCCCAGACGATGTATCACCTGACAAGGGAGGAAACAAGGGGCCTCACCTCTTGTGACATGCCCGCCCTGTAACTGACGAACGGCCCGTCCTCGGGTAGGCCAGGCCCCACGATCATTTGAGTTCCATCTTCAGCTGGTACCAGCAGCACTTTCATGTTGGTAGACAGGGGGCTGATGAGAAGGAACTCACGGCCATAGCTGTATTGTGGTAACCACATCTCTGGTGGGTGGAGAGTTAGGGGGGTGGAGTGTTTAGACTTAGAATAATAACATACCTACCTAAATATGAAGAATTAAGACTAGAATAATAACATACCTACCTAAATATGAAGAATTAAGACTAGAATAATAACATACCGACCTAAATATGAAGAATTAAGACTAGAATAATAACATACACACCTAAATATGAAGAATTAAGACTAGAATAATAACATACACACCTAAATATGAAGAATTAAGACTAAAATAATAACATACACATCTAAATATGAAGAATTAAGACTAAAAAAACAACATACACACCTAAATATGAAGATTTAAGACTAGAATAACAACATACACACCTAAATATGAAGATTTAAGACTAGAATAACAACATACAGACCAAAATATCAAGAATTAAGACTAAAATAATAACATACACACCTAAATATGAAGAAGACTAGAATAACAACATACAGACCTAAATATGAAGAAGACTAGAATAATAACATACACACCTAAATATGAAGAAGACTAGAATAATAACACACACACCTAAATATGAAGAAGACTAGAATAATAACACACACACCTAAATATGAAGAAGACTAGAATAATAACATACAAACCTAAATATGAAGAATTAAGGCTAGAATAATAACATACTGACCTAAATATGAAGAATTAAGGCTAGAATAATAACATACAAACCTAAATATGAAGAATTAAGACTAGAATAACAACATACAGACCTAAATATGAAGAATTAAGACTAGAATAATAACATACAGACCTAAATATGAAGAAGACTAAAATAACAACATACTGACCTAAATATGAAGAATTAAGACTAAAATAACAACATACAAACCTAAATATGAAGAATTAAGACTAAAGTAATAACATACAAACCTAAATATGAAGAATTAAGACTAGAATAACAACATACAAACCTAAATATGAAGAATTAAGACTAAAGTAATAACATACAAACCTAAATATGAAGAATTAAGACTAAAGTAATAACATACAAACCTAAATATGAAGAATTAAGACTAGAATAACAACATACAAACCTAAATATGAAGAATTAAGACTAAAATAACAACATACAAACCTAAATATGAAGAATTAAGGCTAGAATAACAACATACAAACCTAAATATGAAGAATTAAGACTAGAATAACAACATACAAACCTAAATATGAAGAATTAAGACTAGAATAACAACATACAAACCTAAATATGAAGAATTAAGACTAGAATAACAACATACAAACCTAAATATGAAGAAGACTAGAATAACAACATACAAACCTAAATATGAAGAATTAAGACTAAAATAATAACATACAGACCTAAATATGAAGAAGACTAGAATAACAACATACAGACCTACATATGAAGAAGACTAAAATAACAACATACACACCTAAATATGAAGAAGACTAGAATAACAACATACAAACCTAAATATGAAGAATTAAGACTAAAATAATAACATACAGACCTAAATATGAAGAAGACTAGAATAATAACATACAAACCTAAATATGAAGAATTAAGACTAGAATAACAACATACAGACCTAAATATGAAGAATTAAGACTAGAATAACAACATACAAACCTAAATATGAAGAATTAAGACTAGAATAACAACATACAAACCTAAATATGAAGAATTAAGACTAGAATAACAACATACAAACCTAAATATGAAGAATTAAGACTAGAATAACAACATACAAACCTAAATATGAAGAATTAAGACTAGAATAACAACATACAAACCTAAATATGAAGAAGACTAGAATAACAACATACAAACCTAAATATGAAGAATTAAGACTAGAATAACAACATACAAACCTAAATATGAAGAAGACTAGAATAACAACATACAAACCTAAATATGAAGAATTAAGACTAAAATAACAACATACAGACCTACATATGAAGAAGACTAAAATAACAACATACAAACCTAAATATGAAGAAGACTAAAATAACAACATACAAACCTAAATATGAAGAATTAAGACTAAAATAACAACATACAAACCTAAATATGAAGAATTAAGACTAAAATAACAACATACAAACCTAAATATGAAGAATTAAGACTAAAATAACAACATACAAACCTAAATATGAAGAAGACTAAAATAACAACATACAGACCTAAATATGAAGAATTAAGACTAGAATAACAACATACTGACCTAAATATGAAGAATTAAAACTAAAATAACAACATACAGACCTAAATATGAAGAATTAAGACTAGAATAACAACATACAGACCTACATATGAAGAAGACTAAAATAACAACATACAGACCTAAATATGAAGAATTAAGACTAGAATAACAACATACAAACCTAAATATGAAGAATTAAGACTAGAATAACAACATACAGACCTACATATGAAGAAGACTAAAATAACAACATACAGACCTACATATGAAGAATTAAGGCTAGAATAACAACATACTGACCTAAATATGAAGAATTAAGACTAGAATAATAGCATACACACCTACATATGAAGAATTAAGGCTAGAATAACAACATACTGACCTAAATATGAAGAATTAAGACTAGAAAACAACATACAGACCTACATATGAAAAAGACTAAAATAACAACATACAGACCTAAATACGAGTCCTGGTGGCACGGAGGACTTGACGTTGTGTCAAGGCAAGACCCCACAATGACACCAAACTTTTTACTGCCTGTTATTTTGGTACCTATTACACGCAATTAGAATATATATATATATATATATATATATATATATATATATATATATATATATATATATATATATATATATATATATATATATATATATATATATATATATATATATATATATATATATTTGTATACATAAATACATACATATATATATATACATATATATATATATATTTGTATATATACACATATACATATATATGTGTGTGTGTGCGTGTGTGTGTGCATGTGTATGCGTGCGTGTGTGTGCATGTGTGCGTGCGTGTGCGTGTGTGTGTGCGCGCGTGTGTGTGCGTGCGTGCGTGTGCGTGTGTGTGCGTGTGCGTGTCCGCGCGTGTGTGTGCGCGTGTGTGTGTGCGTGTGTGAGTGTGTGCGCGCGTGTGTGTGTGTGCGTGTGTGTATGGTCCAAAACAAAGCGCATTACACTGTGTGCGTGTGTGTGTGCGTGTCATAGCCTCGATATAAAAAAGGCGAGTACCTCGAATGACGTGGTTGTCTAGCGACGTGGGGCGGCAGTTCAAGGTCAGCGTGTAGGCCTCTTCCCTGAGTCGTGTACACATTTTAGTGTGAGTACAAGATTAGTACAAGATTGGGGACGGAGTGGTCTAGCGGTAGAGAGCTGGACTGCTAACCCGTTAGTCTCGAGTTCGAATTTGGGTCAAGTTAGTAGACCTTCCCTGAGTTCACCCAACTCTGATGGGTACCTAACTCACGTTAGGAAGAGTAAAGGCGGCTGGGCATAGTGCTGACCACATTATCTCTTCATATGCCGAGGTCACAGAAACAAGTGAACTCTACCTCACTTGCCCCATAGACCGTCAGGTTTGAAAAGGGAAACTTACAAGATTAGTATGTCATTATGTCAATAGTCTTTATGTCAGTAGATCATTATTTCAGTAGGTCATTATATCAGTAGATCATTATTTCAAGGGGTCATCAGTTCAGGAGGTCATTATTTTAGCATCTCAACAAGTCAGTATGTCAGGAGGTTATCATGTCATTAGCTCACTGTCAGTAAGTCATTATTCACTGTCAGCAGGTCATTATGCCAGCATGATAGAACACAATTATGTCAGTAGGTCATTATTCCAGCAGGTCTATACATTAAGTTAGTTGGGCAGTAGTGTGGCGATGATTGATGGACGGAAGAGTCGGCAATAGGGTGTAGGTTATTCATGGGTCTACGGTATTAATAGGGTGTGGGTTATTCATGGGTCTACGGTATTAATAGGGTGTGGGTTATTCATGGGTCTACGGTATTCTATTATTTGTTTGTCAGTTATGGCTGCTGAAGTGGGCGCGTAGTAGATTATATAAGGGCATTGTGTATTGGGATTTGTTTTATATTGAGATATGTAATGAGATATATATATATATATATATATATATATATATATATATATATATATATATATATATATATATATATATATATATATATATATAATGATATCTGTATTGGAACTTAAAATAACTCCCCGCATTATTACCGAAGCTGTAATCACCCATTACATATATTCCATGAAAACGCCTACATCATTACCTTCTTAACATAAAGTTAAGTCGTTCAGGGTCATATGCATTGTCGAATCCTCTGATTCTTTGTACTCTGCTGATTATGTTAGTGTCATCTTCTGTCGCCACTACCACGATACTGGCGTGGTGACTGCAGACATAAATGTCAGGTGTCATTTTTAAACACACGACATAATATTCTGTTATCTTGACTGAATGTCAAACGTTTGTTTTAAAGTTGTAAGTAAACATACTCACATCTAACGATGTTTGGGCAGATCAAGTAGAGTCAGTGGCGTAGCGAGGTCGGGTGTCACCTGGTGCGGCACTTAAAGGTGTCACCCCCCAGAGGCTTAGCGACCCTTCCCGGGGACAAATTTTCGATTTGCACCCCCCCCCCTTAAGTTTTCGATTTGCACCCCTCCTCAAGTTTTTCTCTATATACTTTGCTATTTTTCGCCTTGGTGTCACCCCCCTAAATGGTGTCTCCCGGTGCGATCGCACCCCCCGCCCCCCCCCCCCTCGCTACGCCTCTGAGTAGAGTTGACGTGTTTAACCGGTTTCTTGACCGCGGTATTTCATTCACTTTACTTTCCCTAACGTAAGTCAGGTACCTATTAAAGCTGGGTGGACTCAGGTCCGTCCCACATTGGCGAGCCCGGACCGAGATCCGAACTCAAGACCTTCGGGTAACTAGTCGAGCGCTCTACGCCTCAACCACGTAACACCAAGTAAAAGCCAATTTGGGTGAATTAAACTTGGTAACGCTTGCCCGAAAGTCTCTAGTTCCAATCTCGCCTATGACTGCAGATTTTAGGACGTCCCTGAGTCCACCCAGCTCTCATGGGCAGAGGCGTAGCGAGGGGGGGGCGGGGAATGCGGACCACACCGGGTGACACCATTTAGGGGGGGGGGGGGGTGACACCAAGGCAAAAAATAGCAAAATATAAAGAGAAAAACTTGAGGGGGGTGCAAATCGAAAGTTTGAGCGGGGGGGGGGGGGTGCAAATCGAAAGTTGACGGAGGATGCAAATCGAAAGTTTGAGGGTGGGTGCAAATTGAAAATTTTAAATTTCGTCCGCGGGAAGGGTCGCTACGCCTTGGGGGGGGGGGTGACACCATTAAGTGCAGCACCGGGTGACACCCGACCTCGCTACGCCACTGCTCATGGGTACCTGACTTAAGTTGGGGAAAGGAAAAGCGGCGGGGCATTGTGCTGGCCACACAATCTCTTTACATGCCGAGGTCAAGAAACATATGAACTCTACTTCACCTGCCAACTGGATCACTAGGTCCAAGAAGAGGAGAGAGTACATCGAGCTGATGCTATACCAACGAGCACACAAATTATCTTCACCCTCACTTTACCTCACCCCCCCCCCCCCTCTACCGTGATGAAAGCAACCGTCCGTGACGACAGTTTACAGACGATGATGAAACAATCAAGCAGACTTGTTACCTCCCCTTAGGTTAAATCGTTGAAAAACTAAATTATCTGCCCTTAATAGCCGTCACTAATTCGCCCCGGCTCTACGATTGTAAACATTCGGCGTGAACCACAGGTCAGCAGACTGGTGGGGGTGGGGGTGGTAGCGATATGGTCTGTTGCGCATGTCTGGAGAGACTGACCCGTGGCCCGTCTACATTCGTAAGGTCAGGGAAATAGGTCAAGACTGACCAGTGATATACGAATCAAATATTCCCTGGACTTGTCCATGAAATATCGCTCGACCTACACATTCTTCTTCTTCGTTCTTAATTTTAGTGTTGGAAGGGATCCCCTCCAGCACAATTAATTAAACGTGTCAACTGGTTATGCGCCATTGAGGACATTGACTCAAATTTCAGTCTGCTTTTCTTTTTTGGAATTGCTTCCATAGCCTTTGTCCAACCAAGAACAAACTACAAGGCAGCAGTTGATTTTGGAGTTGTCTCTCCTAGAAGAGTGGCTGTCCCCATCTGCTCGAGGGTTCGAACTCGAGACTTTTCGGTTTAGCAACCATGAGTTTTACCGACTCGACCACGCCGACCCCTACCTACACATTGACAACCTCCACACTCTTCTACACCTTCACACTCCACCCTCCACCCCAGAGGCGTAGAGACCCTTCATGGCGCCCGGGGACAAACTTTTCGATTTGCAACCCCCCCCCCCTCAAACTTTCGATTTTACACCCCCCCCCCCTCGAGATTTCGATTTGCACCCCCCTCAAACATTCGATTTGCACCCCCCACCCTCGAGATTTCGATTTGCACCCCCCTCAAGCATTCGATTTGCACCCCCCCCCCCCTCAACCTTTCAATTTATTTTTCCAACACCTTTTGGCGCCCCCTTTGGTCGGCGCCAGGGGACATATGTCCCCCCCCCTCGCTACGCTACTGCTCCACCCCACCCCCCTCGCTACGCTACTGCTCCACCCCCAACCTCCTCCACCCCCCTCCCAAGTCACGAAAACATCCCGATCACAAAAAGTAAAGACTCACTTGGGAGGACGGACGATGTATAGCAGACCGAAAGCCTCAACTGGAACTGCCAGCATCTGGCTTAGGACCGTGTCCCGGGCTGGGGACAGGGCGTGGACGAACAGCACGAACTTCTGACCCCCGCGGCTCTTCAAGGTCAACGACCAGGTACTGCCTGACTGCATACGTCTGGTGAGAGAAATAGGTCAAGAGTGACCACTGGTCTGTCAATAAATTAAACCCTGGACTAAATCCCTGGACTTAATCCCTGGACTAAATCCCTGGACTTAATCCCTGGACTTAATACCTGGACTTAATCCCTGGACTTAATCCCTGGACTTAATCCCTGGACTTAATCCCTGGACTTAATCCGTGGACTTAATCCTTAGACTAAATCCCTGGACTAAATCCCTGAACAAAAGACCTGGCCTTAATTCCTTTACTAAATCCCTTGACTAAATCCCTGGTCTAAATCCCTGGACTAAATCCCTGGACTAAATCCTTAGACAAAATCCCTTGACTAAATCCCTAGACTAAATCTCTGGACTAAATCCCTGGATTTAATCCCTGGACTTAATCCATGAAATATCGCTTCAGCTGCACAAAGACACCTCTCCTCCACCACTCCAACCCCACCCCCTCCCCCTTTCCAAAGTAAAAAACAAAACATGCCTGCCACACCTCTGTTTGATTTTTTTTTTAATTCAATATGTGAATATATTTTTGTTTTGGATCGTTTATTAATTAGCAAATTATTAATGTAACCAAAATGTATCTATAGTTTTTTTTTTTTAATAATTGCAAGAAAAATTAAAGAAACAAGTTTGACAATATATAATAGAGAGAGTGAGAGAGAAAGGGTAGTTTGAAATGACAAGATAAAAATAATTTGGGAGAGTTGGAGAGAAATATAGAGAGATAAAAAAAAAATAACATGGGAAAGAAAGAATAAAAGTTGAAGTGAGGAGGGAGGGGTAGATTGGTGCGTGAAAAGATGGAAAGAGATCCGTCCCTCTCTAGCTCTCTGGATAGAGGCAGAGAGATATGAGAGAGAATAAGGAGAGAGCAGGGAAAGTTGAGGAAGAAGGGAACATAGATCAATAGAGAGGGGGAGAGTTTTTAATGACTGAAAGAGAAAGGGGAAAAATTACTTGAGAAAAAGTGGAAGAGGGGAGGAAAAGAGGGGGGGGGGGAACTGAAGAATAAGTCAAGAGAGAAATACATGTGAGAAAAGTCAAGTGAGAAAAGTCAAGTGAGAAAAGTGAAGTTAGTTAAGTGAAGTCTGTTATGTGAAGTGAGATAAGTTAAGTGAGATAAGTTTAAGATAAGTGAAGTGAGATAAATGAAGTAAAATAAGTGAAGTGAGATAAGTGAAGTGAGATAATTGAAGTGATAAGTGATATAAATTAAGTGAGATAAGTTAAGTGAGATAAGTTAAGTGAGATAAGTTTAAGATTAGTGAAGTGAGTTACGTTAAGTGTGATATGTTAAGTGAGATAAGTTTAAGATTAGTGAAGTGAGTTACGTTAAGTGTGATATGTTAAGTGAGATAAGTTTAAGATTAGTTAAGTGAGTTACGTTAAGTGTGATATGTTAAGTGAGATCAATCAAGTGAGATAAGTATCAAAAGGTGAGAGAAAGGAGGAGGAAGACCAAACTTCTCCACCTACAGGTCAGTCGCGTTGACCGTGAACTTGTTGACCTTTGATCTCTCGATCCGCAGCTCCATTGTGATAGGGGTCTCTAGGTGGGTCGTGTAGAGGTTTACGTCAAAGGGGTGGGGGTCAAGGGTCAGGGGGTAGAGGTCCAGCTGAGTCCGTGTGACGTAGGGGATCTGGAGGAGGAAGTGGTCGCCTTGGTGTGTGTACTGAGCTGTGGGTGGAGGAGGGGAGTGGGGGTCAGGTGTGTGGGGGTCAGGTGTGTGGGGGTCAGGTGTGTGGGGGTCAGGTGTGTGGGGGTGAGGTGTGTGTGTTTTGGGGTTTAGGGGGTTGAGAAATGTGGGGTGAAGTATGTGGGGTTGAGATGTGGGGGTGAAGTGTGTGGGATTGAGATGTTGGGGCGAAGTGTGTTGTGTTTAGGTGTGGGGGTCAGGTGTGTGGGGGTGAGGTGTGTGGGGGTGAGGTGTGTGTGTTTTGGGGTTTGTGGGGTTGAGAAATGTGGGGTGAAGTATGTGGGGTTGAGATGTGGGGGTGAAGTGTGTGGGATTGAGATGTGGGGGTGAAGTATGTGGGGTTGAGATGTGGGGGTGAAGTGTGTGGGATTGAGATGTGGGGGTGAAGTATGTGGGGGTGAGGAGTGTGGGGGTGAAGTGTGGGTTTGAGAAGTGTGGGGATGAAGTGTGTGGGATTGAGATGTGGGGGTGAAGTGTGGGTTTGAGAAGTGTGGGGATGAAGTGTGTGGGATTGAGATGTGGGGGTGAAGTATGTGGGGTTGAGAAATGTGGGGTGAAGTATGTGGGGTTGAGATGTGGGGGTGAAGTGTGTGGGATTGAGATGTGGGGGTGAAGTATGTGGGGTTGAGATGTGGGGGTGAAGTATGTGGGGGTGAGGAGTGGGGGTGAAGTGTGTGGGATTGAGATGTGGGGATGAAGTGTGTGGGATTGAGATGTGGGGGTGAAGTATGTGGGGGTGAGGAGTGTGGGGGTGAAGTGTGGTTTGAGAAGTGTGGGGATGAAGTGTGTGGGATTGAGATGTGGGGGTGAAGTGTGGGTTTGAGAAGTGTGGGGATGAGTGTGTGGGATTGAGATGTGGGGGTGAAGTATGTGGGTTGAGATGTGGGGGTGAAGTGTGTGGGATTGAGATGTGGGGGTGAAGTATGTGGGGTTGAGATGTGGGGGTGAAGTGTTGTGGGATTGAGATGTGGGGGTGAAGTATGTGGGGTTGAGATGTGGGGGTGAAGTGTGTGGGATTGAGATGTGGGGGTGAAGTATGTGGGGTTGAGATGTGGGGGTGAAGTGTGTGGGATTGAGATGTGGGGGTGAAGTATGTGGGGTTGAGATGTGGGGGTGAAGTATGTGGGGTTGAGATGTGGGGGTGAAGTGTGTGGGATTGAGATGTGGGGGTGAAGTATGTGGGGTTGAGATGTGGGGGTGAAGTGTGTGGGATTGAGATGTGGGGTGAAGTATGTGGGGTTGAGATGTGGGGGTGAAGTGTGTGGGATTGAGATGTGGGGGTGAAGTATGTGGGTTTAGATGTGGGGGTGAAGTATGTGGGGGTGAGGAGTGTGGGGATGAAGTGTGGGTTTGAGAAGTGTGGGGATGAAGTGTGGGTTTTGAGAGGTGTGGGGTGAAGTGTGTGGGTTTGGAGAAGTGTGGGGGTGAAATGTGTGTGTTTGAGAGGTGTGGGGTGAAGTGTGTGTTTGAGAATTGAGGGTTTTAGTAGTGTGTGGTTGAGGAGTGTGGGTGAGGAGTGTGGGGTGAAGTGTGTAGTGTTGAGGTCTGTGGGGATGAAGTGTGTGGGGTTGAGGTGTGTGAGGGAACGATCTTTGAGTAAAGTCTCATTCACTGATTCACTCAAGTTCTCACAGCTCACTCACACACACATCACTCGCACACCTTACTCACACATATCTCCCACACATATCTCCCTCACATTTCACTTACATCCACTTAACTCACGTTCACATTTCATCAACAAACACCCCACCTTGCACACGAATGGAATTATTCAACAAAATGTTTTTAAAAAATCTCACGCACAACACACATAAACTCACACACTCTATACACACACACCCCACTCACAACACACTCACACACAACTGTGACGTCAATCAATTTAAAAACTACACCAAAGACAGACGTTACATGTCCGTGTGACCAGTCTCCCCTCTCCTCTCCCCTCTCTGCCTCTTTCTTATCTCATCTCTCCCTCTCTCCCTTCGCCTCTGCCTCTTTCCTCTACATCCTCTCCCTCCCCTCTCTCCGTAATCCAATTTTATCCACATCTCTTTCTCATATTATCTTACTCTTTCTCTTTCACTCCGTCATCTTTTCTCTTACTTTCTCCGTCTTTTTCTCTCTCTCTAGAATCAATCCCTCCATTACTATTTATCTCTGCAATCTCTCCATCTATCTCTCCCCATCCGTCTACTTGCCTCTCCCCATCCGTCTACTCGCCTCTCTCCATCCGTCTACTCGCCTCTCTCCATCCTTCTACTTGCCTCTCCCCATCCGTCTACTTGCCTCTCCCCATCCGTCTACTTGCCCCTCCCCATCCTTCTACTTGCCTCTCCCCATCCGTCTACTCGCCTCTCTCCATCCGTCTACTCGCCTCTCTCCATCCTTCTACTTGCCTCTCCCCATCCGTCTACTTGCCTCTCCCCATCCGTCTACCCGCCTCTCCCCATCCGTCTACCCGCCTCTCCCCATCCGTCTACTCGCCTCTCTCCATCCGTCTACTCGCCTCTCTCCATCCTTCTACTTGCCTCTCCCCATCCGTCTACTTGCCTCTCCGCATCCTTCTACTCGCGTCTCCCCATCCTTCTACTCGCGTCTCCCCATCCTTCTACTCGCCTCTCTCCCTAGAAGGCGCTTGAGCTGCTGGCGCCCACCCAGTTACATCACAAGCCGAGGTGACACCCCACCTAGTGACGTCACAACCTACCTGTAGTCTCAGGTAGAGCAAGCCATCTACAGGTGAGTACCAAGTACATGACCTTCAGGCACGCGCATGTGTCAAGGTCAAATCCTTTCATCGCGTGTTTGTGATGATATTCAACGAGTCAAACTCTGGTACCATCTGATGAAGAGACTGAGGTTAAGGCTATCGTTAAGATTATAAGTATACATGATAAGTTTAAAAAGTCTTCATACCGCGGCTGTAGGTACAAATCCAGAACTATGTATCATATATATAAGTCTGGGTTAATACCCCTTGGATAGTGAGTTTCTGAGCGGAGTTAAGTCCCCTACTGTTATATTATCTCCCTACCAAATTAAATGGAATATTTTTATATAACGGCACGGCCATAACACAATCCCCTGAGTCATGTATTCTTGTTTTGAGAAAACTGGAAAAAAAACCGAACCACTTAAAGTATTACTTCTGTCACGATGGTACAATTTAAGAAAGACAAGTTTTCTGATTGGCTTTTGACTTAGGCGATTCGCCATATAATGTGTAAACATTGTATTTCAACTATTAACTCAAAACCCTCCAAAAATGACTTAGGCGAATGTGTTATGACCGTGACGATAAAATATATAAAAAAGCGTGAACGATAGCTTTGGAGGGTTGGGTTCGAGATTAGTACATAGTAAATATTGCACACGAGAAAAATGGCCCGTTGAGGAAGGGTACAACGGGCGCTAGGCTGATAGTGCTGTCTCTTTTCTCTAAACTAAAACCAACCCCCCCCCCCCCCCCACACACCACCCCCCACCCCACCCCCCCACCCCCACACACCACCCCCACCCCCACCCCCCACCACACACCACCCCCAACCCAACCCCTCAACCCCACACACCACCCCCACCCCCCACCACACACCACCCCCACCCCCACCCCCCTACCGTCCCATTCAACGAAATATAATTATATACTTTTTCCAGTGTCCGCCCCCTCCCAGAAAATTCTACCCCCGCCCCCGAAAATTTCAAGTACCCCCACCCCTCTCCGGGGAGGAAAAAGTCTGAAAGAAACACTGAAACCAACCCACCCCCCCACACACCACCCCCCGACCCCCCCCCCCCACACACCACCCCCCCCCCACACACACCACCCCCCACACACACCACCCCCCCCACCCCTCCACCACCCCCCACCCCCAAAAAAAACATGTCTACCGTCCCATTCAACGAAATATAATTATATACTTTTTCCAGTGTCCGCCCCCTCCCAGAAAATTCTACCCCCGCCCCCGAAAATTTCAAGTACCCCCACCCCTCTCCGGGGAGGAAAAAGTCTGAAAGAAACACTGAAACCAACCCACACACCACACACCACCCCCCACCCCCACACACCACCCCCCCACCCCCACACACCACCCCAACCCCCCCCCCCACACCCACCGCTCCACCTCCCCCCCCCCCCCCCCCCCCCAAAAAAAACATGTCTACCGTCCCATTGCAAGAAAACCACTTTTTAGATTAGACACATTAATTAGGCGGTAATTTTATAATAGAGTATCGATGAGGAAATTTCTTTTGAGTTGTGGAGGGGGGGGGGGGGGCTCAGACGTTCTTACGCGGGGGGTGGGGCTTCGCCCCTACCCGAAGAATTGTATGCAAGAAACTCTTCACGCAAACCATTTAGATTAGACAACATTTCCTTTTTTTCAATGTTTACGCGATAATCAATGACGTCATTTTACTGTGTGCACTCTCTGGTTTGAGATTATGTTCTACTCTACGCTAAATGTGTCGACGTCATATTTCGTTTTTCGAATTACTGTGCATGTTTTTATTTTGCTTGTGTTTTCTCTAGAGCGTTCTTGTCAGACAAAGCGTTCTTGTCAGACAGAGCGTTCTTGTCAGATAGACAGACAGCGAAACTATTATTATAGACGAGAAAAATGGCCCGTTGAGGAAGGATACACCGGGCGCTAGCTTGATAGTGCTGTCTCTTTTCTCTAAACTAAAACCAACCCACCCCCCCCACACACACCACCCCCTCCACACACCGCCCCCCCCCACACACACCACCCCCCCCCCACCCCTCCACCCCCCCCCCCCCCCAAAAAAATACATGCCTACCGTCCCATTCAACGAAATATAATTATATACTTTTTCCAGTGTCCGCCCCTTCCCCGAAAATTCTACCCCCGCCCCCGAAAATTTCAAGTACCCCCCACCCCTCTCTGGGGAGGAAAAAGTCTAAACTAAAACCACCCCACCCCCCACACACACCACCCCCCCCCCCCCACCCCCCCACCCCCCCCCCCCCCCCAAAAAAAAAACATGTCTACCGTCCCATTCAACGAAATATAATTATATACTTTTTCCAGTGTCCGCCCCCTCCCCGAGGGGGGGGGGGCTCAGACGTTCTTACGCGGGGGGTGGGGCTTCGCCCCTACCCGAAGAATTGTATGCAAGAAACTCTTCACGCAAACCATTAAGATTAGACAACATTTCCTTTTTATTCAATGTTAACGCGAAAATCAATGACGTCATATAACTTTGAGCACTCTCTGGGTTTGAGATTATTTTCTACTCTGTGCGCTAAATGTGTCGACGTCATACTTCGTTTTTCGAAATACTATGCATGTTTTTATTTTCCTTGTGTTTTCTCTAGAGCGTTCTTGTCAGATAGATAGATAGACAGACAGCGAAACTATTAGTATTAATTAGATTAATTACAAGCATTACGGTCCGTGGGGCAAGTGAAGTAGAGTTTACAAATGTTTGTGTCCTCGACATATGAAAGAACAGTGTGGTCAGCACTATGCTCTGCCGATTTTACTTTCCTCAATACGGGTCAGGTACCCATCAGAGTTGGATTAACTCAGGGATATTATAAAGCATTTGAACTCTGATTAAAGATTGCAAAAGTTAAAAATAGAGCTGTAGAAAGAAGTGTATTTTAAAGCTTAAATCACTTAGATCTTGATCGTTGTGATCTGTATCGAACTGTATCGAGCTTTCTTTCTGGAAGTATCGCTTTTGAGGGTTTGCAATTAATATAATTAGGGTTAAAGTTAAGAAACTAGGAAAAGAAAAAGATGTATAAGTTCTTACAAGACCTACCTATTACCTATAAATAAAATAAATAAAATGTCTTTTTTCTACTGACCCTACACAGCCCATCACAAAGACGTCATAAACATTTGCAAATAGTAGATGTCTCCCATCATGGGTTCCATAGGATGACTATACTGTAGAATCTCGTTCTAACTGGATTAGGATGCTAATCTGTAATCCTGAGTAGATCTAGATCTAGATCTAGATAGATCTAGTCTTTACTGAGGGATGAGCGATCAGCACTGCCTCTGATATTTGGGTGTCTACAGAAAAGTTTCGCCAGCTAGTTCAAAATCTGCTCTAACTCTAAAACCAATTGCGAATATTTACGTTTCTGTTATCCATATTTTCTGTGAATTTCTTCGAAGTTAACAAAAGAAAACAAACAATGTTTTTTTTTTCTTCTGTGTCAATACATTAAATCCGTTTATTAAGGTGCGTTACATCTATGCTTATTATTGTGTGCGCACCATTCTACTTTGTTTACTGCGCATCATTTTTCTCTGTTTTGCCATAAGTAAGACACTCAACTAAAGCATCCATATCCGACCAGTGATTCTTTCAGCCTTTTTTTTCACCGGTGGGGGGGGGGGGGGGTAACTTGAAATTTTTTTTGGAAGGGACTCAATTTTCCGGGATGGCGGACATATTTTATATAAATATATTTTATATAAAATTTCTATTTCATTCGGGGGATAGACATTCCCCCCCCCCCCCCCGAAAAGATGCCTGGAAGAAACTCTGTATCCGACTGTCAGACCACTCGTGTCATAATCCTTTCAGAGCGGAAGTTCCATGAGCCTATAAAATAATCTCTTTAAGACGGTGAGAACGTTCCCAGCGTCCCATGCAGTTTAATCTAATTCGTTGTTTCTCCGAATCCAAGTTTTTAATCGTTAATCTTGATATCGTTAGAGCAGCCATTTTTTTGCGTTGTATTTACGTTTTTGTAGTGTTCTCGTTCGGTTGACTTTGTATTTTATTAAAAAAAATTTTTTGGTCACTAGTAAAACAGCATTTTTAAAATTTTTTTTATTAAAAACATCAATTTCAGTTTTTATTTTGTTTTATTTATTATAAAACAACTACAGTATAAACACAAACATATGTAAGAAAAAAATTGTACTAGCATGCAGTAATTAACAGATGTACACCTCTATGTCCACCAATAAATTTAATCAACACCAATTAATGATGTCACTAATTCATGGACCACACAAAAATCACAACTACAGTAACGTTAGAAAAGCGCTTAATGAGACACTCCTATACAATAACACAGAAGGGCGTCGATTTCATATTTTGGTACCCATAAAATTGGCAACATTAAAAAAACGGTTTCTTTTGCAAAAAGCTCGAAAAAAAGAAAAGACTAATTTTAATTTAAGAAAAATATATTGCTTTTTTAATTTTTTTTAAAACCATTAAATGTAGCGTATCATTGAGTCACTAATTACAGACATTTTTTTTCGGTTATTTTAATATAAATGAAAAACCTTTACAGCAATAAGCTTTTAGATGCAACGAAAATAAAAACAAAATAAAACTAAATTGATACTTTTATGTAATTTTTCAGTACATTTAAAACATTAGTATTTGTAAAAGTGTTTTATATTGACACCACATAGGCCACGACTAAAATATTTGCTTTAAATACCAATCAGCTTCTTGTAATCTCTAATAGAAAAGAATCCGCTCCATCGAAATCCACGCTCCAACAAGAAATAAATCAACCGTTACAAATAGTTCACGGCCATCAGTTGGCTGAGCGTGCTTTAGCTAATAATAAAAAAAAAACTCTTCATTTCTCCCCCTTACTATTATTATTGAATTTAGTTTTTTTAATAACTAAGCTAATTGCTAATTAAATTTTAAAAATAGATTTGCTCTGGAAAGCTTGTATGAAAATACTGCATTAGATGTGGATTAAAATTTAGTTACAGGATATGCCACATACAATAAACAAACCAAAATAAAAATGTTTAAAATGTCATATTTTAAAACAGTGAAATTATATGATCGTAGATTAAATCAATGTCTAGGTTGATCTAAAC